TTACTTCCTCATGCGAGAGGTGCAGCAGCGTGGTCAGATTCATCTTGCTTACGTGGCCACACAGGCCAACACTGCTGATGTCTTCACCAAGGCCCTTGGGTCTGGCGATCATCAGCGTTTCTGCACTGCTCTTGGGTTTGTGCCCACTCTGCCTCACCTGCTTGTCTCTTGATCTTGCCTTGCATTTGTTGTACTTTGATATATATGATTATACCTGCATGTTTGCACTTGCTAAGTTGTGATCAGTGTACTGCAATTGCTATTATAAACTCTGCATGTGAACTGGCTTTATGGCCGCTTTCTTGTGCTCAGAATGCGTGGTGATCTTGAGATCCACCCTGAGCTTTGCTTTGCTTTGTACTCTTGCTTGACTGGTCTTGTGACCGTTGGTTGTGTTTGTTATCCCCCACTTTGCCCATGGGGGTGTGTCAAACTATATGTTTGTTAGCTTGTAGGCTACAGTGAGGTTTTCACTAGAGGGGATAACCCAATTAGGGTTTCCTACTTGTATCCAACTGTTGCCAACTTCATTCATTCCACTGTACTGATTCTGACATATGGGGGATCATAGCGGAGCCAGGGAAATGAGGAAAAGGAAAGGGTAGAAAAAGGATAATGGTTGAGCTGAGGGCAAGCTGTTGGTTGAAATCAGTCGTACAAAATGCCCTATCTGCAAGGGAATACTCAATAGGTGGGTAAGAGGGAGGAGAGAAGAGGGGAGAATCGGTTGCAGAGGATGGTTTGAGGGGAAGGCCAAGGGCGAAGGTTTAGAGGTGAATGCAGAGAGTGCCTTGCATGCGATGGGTGGGTAGAGAAAGGGAAATAAGACGATATGATCAGTCGACACACATCACCAAGGGCGAGGTGCTGGCTGAACTTTCAATAGAAGAGAGTGGCTTTCCTGCAAGGGGATAGGAAGGAAGAGGAGTGATGAGACGAGATGAAGTGGAGGTGAACGGAGAGCTGGATGCAGTGATCGCTTGGGTGGGAGAGGAAGGGAGAGGAGAGAAGAGATGGAGCGGAGGGGAAGGCTGACGGCGAGGTTTGATAGAGTGCCCTATCCTGTTGGATATCGATAGCATGGTTTACGGGAACAAAGGGTGAAAAAGTGCCAGAGGACGGGAGTGGGAGTTTGACGCATTACACCTTGCTTGGCAAGGTGGTGATCCTGCCAAGGGCGTGATGAAGTCTAGGAGATGGTGATACCTGTTTGGTAACTAGGCAACATGGAAAAACACTAGGGTTTAGGGTGTATAACATCAACCTATGCCTATCAGGTTGCGGTTCCTGCCGCATGGGGTGATGAGAGGGTACAAGGAAGCCAGAGGATGTGCATGCAGGCGACATAAGTTTGCTGGACAGTATGCGAGGACGGTGCACTGGTTGACAATCCTTCAACGGCTAATGGCTGACAGGGTAACAATGGATTGGCCTCTGTCAACACCTTCGCTCGTGCCTTGTCGACAGCACTCATCAGCAGCATGGTATTAGGGCCAATCACCAGTGCAGACCCCCCGAGATGACTACCATGTGCTAAACAACACAGGCTGAGCTGTGCAAACAATGTGTACATCTCATCCCAAAGCGGCAAGAGCTCGTCGTAGATAGCAGACTGTACACGCTCCACCCTTGCACCTAGGGTTTGCATGACAGGGGGGCCTGGTGGGAAGAATCCCTTATTTGGCCAAGGAAATCAAAGTCATCCCCGGCAGTACCATGCCCCCTCGCACTTTCATGCTGGCAGGAAAAGGGAAATCAAGGAAAGGGATTGGCCAATGAACCTGGCTGATGCCCAAGGGAAGGTCGGGCCAGGGGGGAGACCGGCCTGCCCTGGACAGGTGACGCGTGGAGAGGTTGATAGGGGAATGAGGGTGAGGGGAGAGGGGAGTTGAAGACGGCATTTTGTGGAGGGGATTCAAGACCCTTTCCTTGTGGGGTGCCGGCTGCTGTAGGAGCGATGTTGGATGGGGCGCTGTAAGGCGTGAACAACCGCGGTGCGCCTGGCACTATGGACGGCAGTGTAACACTTGATCCGTCGGCCCCTTTCATTATCTGCATCCCTTGGACGTCCACTTCAATATGCACAGCCTTTATCGCCATCTCCTTCATCATGCTCATCTCTTTTGCTATGGCCAGCATTGAATTTGTCGTGGTCCTCCTCCAGATCCCTTTTCTCCCCCTCCTTATATTTCAGCGTTCGCTGCACGAGAACGGTAGCTGACACCTTGATGACCTTCGGCTGGAGGGCCAACGCTGCTACGATGTTTCCGCATCGAAATCTTGTATGGTGACATTCTCCACGCGAGGAACGTCGCCATGGGATCCCCCCTTTTCAGCGCCCTCTCGGTGTGCCGACAGTTCCCCAAGACTTGCGACCCCTTTGCCCTGGCTCATCAGTGGCGCCAATAGTTTCTTTGTTTCCGCCGTCTGTCGGTCCGTGCTCGCTTCCACCCGTGACCTTCGTACCAGCCATTTTTGCAGTAGAATCCATCCTAGTCGG